TGTAAATGTAAATATACAAAATATACTAAATGTGTGTAAAGTAACATTATACATAGGTTTGGTTGGGAATTTGCCTCTCCCTACATCTCCCCACCCTCTTATTATATAGGAGCACTTTTTGGGTGATATCTCATATTAAGTCCATTATTTATTAAGGTCAGAGAAAAATGTTCTTAGTATTTTATATACATTTAATTACTATATAATTTGTGTGCCATTTTGCTTGATGAATGCTTGCTATCTTGTAGGTAGTGATATAATCCGGTGGCTGTGGAAAACTTGGGATTTTCAATTTTGATCAAAAAATGTGACAAGTGGTTTTGACAGTCCTCTCTTGATGTTAAAACTATCCAAAAAATTCTTAAGTCACCGAAACAGCTGAAAATCTGAAGGTGCAAAGTGCTTATAATCGATGTCAGTCGATGTATAAAAACTTTCCACCCAAGCTTTCTTAATTTTGCGCAGTGCCCAAAGATTTGTGTGGTCTGGCTTTATCTTGATGACAGACCACTCCTTTTCTGTTGATCCATTCCATTTTTTTCTTAATATCTTGCTTGAGTCTCATTAGTGGTTAGCAGTAGAGATCCGAAAAGATAGTTTTGCCGGGCGGTAAAAGGCTCGTAATAAATGATGCCCTACCTATCCAATTTACACAGCATGACCCAATTGCGTGGTGATCGAAGTTTCGCTACAGTCTGTGGAGTGTGTTTCACCATTATCGTTTTTGAACATTCTTGCCTTTGGTGATACACTTTTCATCACCAGTGATCTTTTCAACATTGGTTCAGATTCATTACATTTTAAAAGAGAATTGCAAATGAGTACGCGATTCATTAGGTTTCTTTCTGTGAGCTCGTGTGGTACACAAATAAATGGCTTTTTTATACAGCCAGACTATTTCATATGCGTCAAAACTGTTTTTTCGTCAATGTTTAATTACTCATCTATGTCGTTACTACTAATATACTGATCTTCCTCAACTTTTTCAAAAGTGGGATCAACTTTGTCCGTATGAAAGCGACCAGGGACGAGCTGCATCTTTGACATCAAAATTCCTGAACTGCAAAAGCTTGTAGTGTTATGCTACTTACATATCATTTTACACTATTTTAAATTTATTTTTCCATTTTGTTTTTGATATTTTGCATCACCTTTATTTCCATAGGATCCTGTAACGTTTTTAAACCATAAGAACACAATAACAAATCATTTCCACTTCGTATTTTCACGCTATCAGCACTTTTTAAATCGGTGTCAATGGAGTCTACCTTTTTCGATCTTTTATTTAGTTCTCCGTAACTCTGCAATTTCGGGCTTCGTGCGAGCTGTTGCGCTACCTTTTTTCCTATATCAATAATATCTCATTTTTCACTTAAATCTTGCCGTTTCTCTATTACGAGTCTGACAATTTTTATTCAAATTCGTTACCGGTCTGATGTTTTTACTTCAAAACTTCCACAAAAATACTCTTTTCTTCTTGGCCATTTACAAAAATTTGCTTTTAATTTAAGTAATTTTCCGTTCTTTTCACAAATCCGTCGTCGAGCGCGGAGCTCTCTAAAAAAGTATAAAAGCCGAACAATCGGCCAATAGAAGGAGTCTCGCTTCAGCTTTCAAACTCGAAGCATCTCCTAAAGGCCTTATCCCGGGGCCGCACTGCCCCGGGATCCTGCAAGCCTCTGCCTTCACCTGAAGTCGTCGCCTAACCACGCCTACGCCTCCACCTACTAATGCCCGCGCTATCTTTAGCCGCTGTGCGTGCTTGCTTCAAGCGCTGCGTGTGCCTACTCCGGGCGCTGCGTGTGCCTACTCCGGGCGCTGTGTGTGCCTACTCCGGGCGCTGTGTGTGCCTACTTCAAGCGCTGCGTGTACCTACTCCAGACGCTGCGTGTGCCTACTCCGGGCGCTGTGTGTGTCTAGTCCGGGCGCTGTGTGTGTCTACTTCAAGCGCTGCGTATGCCTACTCCAGACGCTGCGTGTGCCTAGATCAGGCGCTGCGCACCTACCACAGGCATACTCCGTGAGCGGTGAGCACCACTGTCAAGCGCGATGTGCCACCTTGGTCTTCGGGCTCCGTTTCAGTACTCATTTATCTTTGTTATTTTTTTTTTTTAAATAATTGTAATTCACGTCACCCACCGTAGAAGGCGTACGACTGGAATAAAAGTGAGGCCATGACTGCTCTCACACTAGGCCTGCGCGACCAGGCCTTAACAGTTCTGGAAGCTCTCGGGGAGGAAGTGACTTATAAGAAACTCCTTGAGGCATTGGAGGCGAGATAAGGCAACGCTCACCTGGAACACGTCTTTCGTGCGAAGCTTAAAGATCGCGTGCAGGGCATCAACGGAAACCTGCAGCAGTGGGCTCTAGAGGTGGAGAAGCTGGTGCGGAAAGCATACCGGTCTGTACCTGCACTCATTGAAGGGAACCTGGTGCAGACATTCATCGACGGTATCCGCGACCTGGAAGTCAGAGCTGCTGTGAGGCTCGGGCACCACGAGATGCTTAAGGACGCCTTGGCCCATGCACTGGAGGTGGAAGCCGTGTGGCAGGATCATCGTTCCCATCGCGTCAGGGAGGTTGCAGCAGCTACAGTTTGCGACCGCAACAGAGGATACAGCCCTAGGTGCTATGGCTGTGGGGAAAAGGGCCATCTTCGATCCAGCTGCCCTAAGCGAATCCTAGAAAGGGAAGTTAAACGATCTCGAGCAGCAGGATCATCGCTCTTCTCACGCTAGGGAGGTTGCAACAGTTACGGTTCGGGACCACAATAAACGATACAGCCCTAGGTGCTATGGCTGTAGGGAAAGGGGCCATCTTCGATCCAGCTGCCCTAAGCGAACCCTAGAAAGGGAAGGTGAACGATCTCGGAAGGGAAGTGCGGCTAACATCACCGCCCAGCAGCAGCCGGTATACGAGTTTACTATCAGACATCGCAGCGTGAAATCTCATGGCAAAACAGATGCACTGTCAAGAAGACCTAGTCCTGAAGATTGCAAACATTGTACTAGGCAAGATAGTAAGGAACAGGTATCCGTGAGGATGCTCAGGGCAGACCACCTCAGCAACGAGTGGAAGGACAGCATACAACGTGCACAGCAGGAAGATCCGGACATCAAGCCGATCCTGGAATGGATGAAGGCCAGTGCTCCCAAGGCCAAGTGGAGCGACGTCTCAGCGATGAGTTCGATCACTAAAAGCTATTGGGCCCAGTGGGACAGCTTGCTGCTTCAGGATGGAGTTCTGTGCCGTAAATGGGAAAATGTTCGGGGAGACAGCTGTCATTTGCAAACGGTTTTCCCTAAAGCTAAAGTGCCGGATGTTCTACAGTTGTACCATAATGATTATTCAGGAGGCCATCTGGGAGTTAAACGAACTCTACTGAAGATCCGAGAACGGTTTTACTGGGTCCACTGTCGAAACAATGTCGAGGACTGGTGTCGCAAATGTAGAAGTTGTGCGGCTGTAAAGGGACCTCAGACTCGTTGTAGAGGTGCATTGAAGTTGTACAATGTTGGTGCTCCATGGGAGAGAATAGCCATTGACGTGGCGGGACCGTTTCCAGAGAGTGAAAGCGGTAAAAAGTATTTCATGGTTGTGATGGATTACTTCACTAAGTGGCCAGAAGTCTTCGCCATTCCAAATCAATAAGCTTCAACAGTTGCGGATAAGCTAGTTCATGAAGTCTTCTGTCGTTTTGGAGTACCTTTGGAGATTCACAGCGATCAAGGAAGGAATTTTGAGTCTCAAATATTCCAGGAAACTTGCCGAGTTATGGGTACTCACAAAACAAGAACGACTTCTTATCACCCGCAATCTGATGGAATGGTAGAACGTTTTAATCAGACATCGGTGAGCTACCTAGCAAAAGTTGTAGACCATCGGCAACGAGATTGGGACAAGCACATTCAACCGTTTTTGTTGTCATATCGAAGCGCTGTTCACGAAAGTACAGCTGGTTGCGCGGAAAACCATTCGTATTAATTTTTTTGACGGTAGGCTTGCCAAATCGTTTATCCCTTTCCAAACTATATCATTCATACCCTCCTATCGACACATCGGGGTGGTGGGGTGGGAGGGGAAAGAAGATGATTCTAGAATATTACGCAATCATCGCAACCGAAGGAATAAAAAGGCACGCGCGGCCGACGCGCGCCCTCTTCCCGCCGCGCTCGTCGTTGGAACCACACCGCTTCTCTCCCGACGTATTTCTGGGGCCCCAGAGAGTCTACCCAGAGTATCTTCCAGAAGTCGCAGCTATAGTGCCCAAGCAGCATAGAAGAAAAACACCCCGGTGAGTGAACATTCCTTACTAGTTACTGCTTGATATATTTGTGTCCGCTCCAATTTATTTTCTCCTAATCAAGCAGGATTCCTTTCATAGATTTGGCAAATAATAGTTCGTTTTGGGGAAGAGCGAGTGCATTGTACGGCGTGCTATAGTCGTCATTTATGTAAGCGTAGAAGCATTAAGCAGATACAGTCCACTTTGGTTAATATCTCGCATAATAGGCTTAAGGTTCGACCGGGGAATTAAACTTCGGTAACCTTAGGCTCGTCGCTCCACCAACAGCAGTGACACCAGCTTTCGCAAACTTTGGAAGAGAATTACGGCTGCCTGCAGACCTGATCACCGGGATACCACCTGATACCCCACGCAGTATAACCGATTATACAAATGACTTGCGGAACAAAATGAATGACATTTATGAGTACGTCAGACAATCGGGCCAGCAAATGTCTGAGAAGATGAATGATATAATGACGCTGACCATGACGATGATGGTAACCATGTCGATGACGTTGACGATGATGACGACGATGACGACGACGACGATGATGATGATGATCATGATGATGATGGTGACAACGACGATGACGATGACGATGATGATGACAATGACGATGACGATCACGATGACGACGTCGATGATGATAGGATGACGATGACCACGTTTATGATGACAATGACGGTAACGATAATGATACGATGACGATAGCGCCGACGACCACGATGATGACAATGACCATGACGATGACGATCACGATGACAATAATGATTACGATGAAGATGACGACGACGATGACGTCCACCATGTCGATGACGATGACGATGACGATGACAATGATGATGACGACGATGATGACGATGGTGATGACGACAACGATGACGTTCGCCATAACGATGACGGTGACGATGACGATGACGATGACGATGGTGATGACGAAGGTGATTACAATGACGATGACGATGATGACGACAATGAAGATGATGATGATGACGATGTCGATGTTGATGATGATGATGATGATTACAATGATGTTAACGATGAAGATGGCGATGACGAAGATGGTGACGACGATGATGATGATGATCATTATTATGATGATGACAACGACGATGACGATGACGATGATAATGACGATCACGAATGATGATGATGACGATGACGATGGCGATGAAAATGATGTAGATGGTGACGATGGTGACGATGATGATGATGGTGATGATGATGATGATGATGATGACGATGACGATGCCAATGATGATGGCGATGATGATGACGACGACGATGACGTTGACCATGTCGATGACGATGACGTTGACCATGTCGATGACGATGACCATGTCGATGACGATTACGATGACAATGATGATGACGACGATGATTATGACAACGATGTTGACGATTATGATGATGATGATGACGATGATGATGACGATGACGTTTATGATGGTGATGACGATGACGATAATGACGCTGACCATGACGATGACGATGACGACGATGGCAATGGTGATGAAAATGGTGATGATGGTGATGAAAACTATGATTATGACAACGATGTTGATGATGATGAAGATGACGATGACAATGAGTATGACAGTGACGATGATGATGAGGACGACGATGACGATTATAATGACGTTGACCATGACGATAAAGGTAACTATGATGATAACGATGACGATGATGACAATGATTACGACAGTGACAATGATGATGACGATGATGACCATAATGATGATTACGTTTATGATGATTATGACGATGATGATGATAATGACGATGACAATGACGTTGACGATGATGACGATGGCAATGATGATGAAAATGATAATGATGGTGGTGAGAACGATGATTATAACAACGATGTTGACGCTTATGATGATGATGACGATGATGATGATGATGATTATGATGATGATGACGACGACGACGATTATGATGACAACGATGTTGACGATTATAATGACGTTGACCATGACGATGATTGTAACTATGACGTTGACCATGACGACGACGTTGACGATGATGATGATGATGATGATGACGATGGTGACGATGATGATGATGACGATGTTTACGAATGATTATGACAGTGACGGTGGCGATTATGATGATGATGATGATTATGATGACAACGATGTTAACGATTAAGATGATGATGACGATGACGGTGACGATGACGACCACAATGACGATTACGATGAAGATGACAATTATGATGATGACGATGATGATGGTGATGACGACGACGATGACATTGACGATGACAATGACAATGACAGTGACGATGAAGATGACAATGATGATTATGATGATGATTATGATGACGATTATGATGATAATGACGATGATGACGATGACGATTACGATGTCGATGACTATTACGATGGCGATGACAATGATGATGACGATGATGATGAATAGGATGATTTTTTTTATTTATTTATTCAAAGAAACTCTTATATTAAATTTGAATATATAGTGAATATTAACAATACATTAGCTAGCACAGTTTCCAACGATAAGAATTACGAATGATCATGATGATAATGATGATGACGACGAATATGATGTTAACGATGTTGGCCATTAAAATGACGTTGACCATGACGATGAAGGTAGCTATGATGATGACGATGTCGACGATGATGACGATTACGATGATGACGACGATGATGACGATAATGACAATGACGATGATGACGACGACGATGATGACGATGGTGGCGATGACGATGATGATGATGATGATTATGATAACAAAGATATGGACGATTAAGATGATGATGACAATGACGATGACTGTGACGATGACCGTGACGATGACGATCACAATGGCAATGATGATGACGATGACAACGATAATGACGATGATGATGACGACGACGATGACGTTGGTACCATGTCGATGACGATGACAGACGACGATAACGATGACAACGATGATGACCACGATGATGACGATGATGATGACGACGTTGATGACGTTGACCATGACGATGACGGTAACGATGATTATGACGATGACGATTACGTTGACCATGTCGATGACGATGACGATGACGATAACAATGATGATGACGATGATGATGACGACGACGATGACGTTGACCATGACGATGACGATGACGATGATTATGACGATGACGATGACGTTGACCATGTCGATGACGTAGACGATGACGATGACGATGACAATAATGATGACGATGATGATGACGATAGTGATTATGACAGTGACGGTGGCGATGATGATGATGATGATGATGATTATGATGAGAACGATATGGACGATTAAGATGATGATGACGATGACGATGACTAAGACGATGACGACCACAATGACGATGACGATGAAGATGACAATGATGATGACAACGATTATGATGATGATTATGATGACGATTATGATGATGATAACGATGATGACGATTATGATGATGATAACGATGATGACGGTGACGATTACGATGTACATGACTATTACGATGGCGATGACAATGATGATGACGATGATGATGATGAGGATGTTGACGAATACGATGATTTTTTTATTTATTTATTCAAAGAAACTTACAGCTCTTATATTACATTTGAATGTAAGGTGATTATTAACAATACATTAGCCAGAACAGTTTCCAACGATAAGAATTACTAATGATAATGATGATGATGATGATGATGACGATTATGATGTTAACGATGTTGACCATTAAAATGACGTTGACCATGACGATGAAAGTAACTATGATGATGAAGATGTCGACGATGATGACGATGACGATGATGACGACGACGACGATAAGTTTGGTTGAGTTGGGATTAGCCCTCCGTTTCTTGTTGTCTGTTTAGATTTTCATGCTGGAACCACATTGTACGAGTATATATGAGTATATATATGTTTTTGTAGTGTTGTGCGAAATAGACGCTTTCATTCCGGTAACCCGGTGGACATATTTAATTTGGTTTGATGTTGTATTTTGCGGAATAGACGCTTTTACATCGTGTATGTTAAATATATATAACAAAAATAAATGTTAATATTACTGACATCTATAATACGTCTTTAATTGAACCCTAATCCCTTAAAATATAAATATAACCGCCTATAGTTTAGATAGCCGTATATACATAACTACATACAACTATCTATAGTCAACCTGATATTGAGATTAGTTCAAGGGATATGATACAGACGGCGACACTATTCATATTGGGTGACAAAAAATCCTAGGAGATGGCTCTCTATTTCTGTATATATTACTCTACTCTATGCAGTCATGGCTCTGGCGTGGCACGGTTCACTTGTTGTATCCCGCTACTAGCTCATCCTAGACTATTCGGATAATTAATTCGTGGAAACGAATTAATTATTATTATCAGCTATTAAATTAGTCTCAGTACAATTTATAGTTAATTACCTGTGATCCACGTATTTTGTGATTGTAAATTAATTCTACCTTCTTACATATATATAAGTATAAAAATAATAATAAAAATAAAAATAAAATAAAACTAAAAATAAGAGTAAACATATAAATAATAAAAAATAAAGACGAAAAAATACAAATAAATATGTAAACAATAAAAATAAAAAATTAAAATAAATATTAAAATAAAATAAAATAATATTAATAAATATAAATATAAATGAATAAAAAATAAAAACAAAATAAATATAAATATAAAAATAATAATAAAAAATATATATAAATATTAAAATAAAAAAATGCGCAGCTGTGCAATTCTACACAGCTGCGCACCCATGCAAACGAGGGTTAGGGCGTCCCCCCAAGGCGACGCACACCAGCTCGTCCCCGTTGGTGTGGAATGCAGCGCGCAAAGCGGCGATGGGGACCGCCACCCGTCACGCACAGCCCGACACGGCGGAAGGTGGAGGACGGAGTGCAGAGTTGGCACGTGGAATGTTAGAGGGGGCATGAGAGATAAGACGAATTAGTTGATCGAAATAATGAAAGAAAGAGAATTAGATGTCGTGTGTATGTCGGAGACCAAACTGAAAGGCAGTGGTACTGAAGAGCTCCCTGGCGGGACGTTAGCTATATGGTCCGGAGTCCCGGAAAGCGAGAACGCCTGCCAGGGAGTAGGAGTGCTGTTGTCGTCCCGGTTGGTCGATCTTATGACTGAATACAAGGTTGTGAACTCAAGACTTCTCTGGGTTCGCTTCAAAATGGAACTGACGAAGTTATTCTTTTTGGCTGTTTATGCGCCGGTAGCTTCGTCGTCGAGGGCTGAGCTGGAGGAGTTTTGGGAGAATGTAAGAGAAGTTCTAGATTTGGTTAAGGGAAACGAAAGAACTGTTGTATGTGGTGATTTGAATGGATACGTAGGTATCGCTCGACCAGGGTACGAGTCGGTGCTTGGAAAGTTTGGCGATAAAAGGATTAATGATGCTGGCAATCTTATACTGGCTGTATGCAAGGAAAAGGGGCTTCTTGTGACAAATACTATGTTTAATCACAGGAAAATCCATATGTACATAAAGAAAGAAAGAATGAGAGAAGTATGATTGATTTGTTCCTGGTGGATGACCGACTGCGAAAACAGAGGATGGATACACGAGTGTTCAGGAGTGCTGACGTGGGAACGGATCACTATCTAGTAATTACTAGATATAGGGGTTTGTTCGCGGGTTGGCGCTACCGGACTGCAGTAACAGAACCACAGTCGGTCTGTCGCATCCGAAGCTGGAAGCTTCAGGAAGCGGATACTAGGGACAAATATCACACGAGGGTAGCCGAAAAGCTTGACACCATCGATGGCAGTAAAGAATGTGTGGAGAGAACATGGCAGAACCTTAGGGATGGAATGGTAAGTGCAGCGGAAGAAGTATGTGGTACGACAAAAAGAGGTAGTAGTAAAAGAAGAGATGCATGGCGGAATGATGAAGTGAGGGAAGCTGTAAAAAAGAAGAAAAAAAGCATGGTTAGACTACTTGGCTTCTAGTAACGATGAGCATATGAGAGAGAAGATGAAAGAAAGATATAAGCTGCAGAAAGTTCATGCGAAAACATTGATTGAGGAAGTACGTGAAAGGTGTAGAATAGAAGCGGACGAGAGGTTGTCGCACAACTTTAGGGAAAACTCCAAAATCTTCTGGAAAGAGTTTGGAAGGTCCCGGAGTGGTGCGACAGCCTTAAGAATGAACAAAGTGCTTTCGAGAACCAATGACGTCCTCTCAGAAAAATCGGACGACATGCAGCGATGGAGTGAATTTTATAGAGAAATGTATGCGTGTCATGATCTTAGTGAAGGATCCGGGGGTGACGCCGTGACTGGCACGCCAGACACGGACCTCAATGACACTGAGGTCATCAGCATGAAAGAGATTGAACGTGCGATTCGATCGAACGTGGGCCTCGCGTCTGGGACAGCTTCCATCTGCTGTGCAATTTGTGCTGGCGGACGGGAGATGTCCCGGATGATTGGCGATCCGCGGTCATTGTGCCTTTATATAAAGGTAAAGGTTCACATTTTGACTGCGGGTGCTATCGGGCGATCAGCTTGACCAGTTTAGCAAGTAAAGTTTACTCGAAGGTTTTGACACGTAGGATGCAAGAGAAATCGGAAAGATTCTTATGGAAGGCACAATGTGGATTTAGACCTGGAAGAGGTTGCACGGATCAAATGTTTTCTCTCCGCATGATCACGAAAAAGCTTCTGAGTGTTAACCAGAGGATTTTCTGTACTTTTGTGGATCTGGAGAAAGCATTTGATAAGGTTCTAAGGAAGAAAATGTGGGAACTGTTGCCGGGATATGGTGTTGATGGTCAATTGTTAAGGGTGTGCAGTCACTTTACTATGACTGTAAAGCCTGTGTGCGGGTAGGGCATGACCTGTCACCCATATTTAGCGTCCAAGCGGGCGTAAAACAGGGTTGTGTCATGTCTTCCTGGCTGTTCATACTGTATCTCGACAGCTGTTTACAGAAGCTGAAAAATAGCTGTTTGGGTGTGAAATTGGGTGACATAAAAGTTAATTGTCTGCTGTATGCTGATGATGCAGTGCTTATTGCACCATCAAAAGTAGAACTGCAGGCATTAGTCACGTGTATGAAAGAGGAATGTGAAATTAAAGCTATTTGAATGCTAATAAAACTAAGGTTCTGGTATTTGAAAAGGACGAAGAGAGAACGAAATATAAAATATGGGTAAATCAGGAATGTCTAGAATAGGTAAATGAAATTGTATACTTGGGGAGTGCTTTCAGCCGGGATGGAAGATGTGATTTAGATGTGGATAGGCGCGTCGCTGCCGGAAACAAAGTCAATGGTGCCCTGAATGCATTAGTAAAAAGGCAGGGCGTGGTGAAGAGTGCACGCCTTGCAATACATAACGCAGTGTTGGTACCGACTTTGTTATATGGCAGCAAAACCTGGGTATGCCAGAAGAAGCATAAAAGCAAGTTGAATGCAGTGGAGATGCGATCTCTTCGTAAAATGTGTGGCGTTACCATAGCCGACCGAAAGCGAAACGAAGAAATTCGCAATATGGCAGGATTGAAAGATGACCTTATCACAAAAATTGATAGGGGCGTACTCCAATGGTTTGGGCACGTTGAACGAATGAGTGAAGACCGAATGGTGAAGAAAATATATAGAGCGAAAGTAAATATTAAAAGGTGTCGAGGTAGACCGAGACTAACTTTCGAAGACCGTGTGAGCAAATTGCTCGAAGAGGGGGAGGGTCAAGAGTACTCGGATACCTAGACGTGCATGTATGAAGAAGTTAATGAACCTGAAAGAAGCGAAAGAGGTATGTAAGGATCGTGACACTTGGCGATCTGTTCTCTCTGGCTACCTCGTTAGGGATTGTGCGTGAAGATAAGTAAGTAAATAAGTAAAGTAAAATAAAAAAATAAATAATTAAAATCAAAATCCTTCTTCTATGAGAAAGAAAAAAATGGAAAAAAGTCGGACCGATGACAGGACTCGAACCAGGCTACTACGACTTCAGAACTGTCCGATTTCCCATTTGATCTAATATAATCTACCTTCTTATATTGTAGCATTTTTTCATTACTGAAAACACGGACAAAACGACATGGACTAATCATGTCTTCGAATTGGTGTATTTTTATTGGTACCAGCGGGGGTCAGACTAGATCACAAAATATAAATACTATAAAAAGAGCCATGTAGCTCAGGGCCTATAGCTGGTTTGACAGTACGTGAACGACCTGAGTTCGATCCTTACCGGCACTAATAAAATTGTTAAACTAAATTAAATTATAAGTGATGATTTACCACGTGTTTTTAGTAAATGAAAACATCGTAAG